TGAAGGGGAGATACAACTAGCCGCAGGTACAACTAGACGTAGGTACAAGTGGGCGTAGGTACAACTAGTCGTAGGTACAAGTAGTCGTAGGTACAAGTAGTCGTAGGTACAAGTAGTCGTAGGTACAAGTAGTCGTAGGTACAAGTAGACGCAGACGTATGAGGTACAAGTAGACGGTGACGTTCCCGACTAGTTGTACCTGTAGATTTTTAAGAGGTACAACTAGACGTAGAGACAACTAGACGTAGAGACAACTAGACGTCCGCACCATCGTCAAGTTGTCTCTACAGCTTTGGACGGGGTACAACTAGACGCCTGTCACCAAAATGCAGCAGGTACAACTAGACGCCGGTACAAGTAGACATCGCCCCGTGATGCCACTTAAACCGATGTTTAAACCAGAGTTGAAGCGCGCGTGCGCTACCGGAAGAAGGTGTTTCTATTGTTGAACATCCGGTTGTCAATTGAACGACAAAGGCAGGGCCGACTAGATTGTTGCCATTAAGCAGGCACTCCCTTGGTGGAGAAGAAGGCAGGCTCTGCTGGTTTTAGCATGTAGACTTTCGCCATAGTATAGATTAACATAAAGATAACTTATAAACAATATAAATACACATGTGTATCTAAAACACGTGAATATATACGTAATATATTAATGAATATATTATAAACATCGTAGTGCATTGAAACATACCAACATTATAAAACACGCCATGACAGGCTTGAGATTTTTGTCCATAACTAATTTTCTAAACATGGAAAAGTCATGAGATGACATTGTTGGTAGCAAGTAAGTGTATGTTAAACACACCTTTTTCTATGCCCTACTCAGATTTCCGTTTTTGAGGCTTAATTTTCTTACCATGCATACAGTTATTTGCTATCCACAAAATACATCACGGTCAACGCTTCAAAATCGTTTTTTTTTTATATCCTTGTTCTCGGACCCTAATATGTCCTGTAGCTATTATAGTCAAGTGGTAAAACATGTCTTTTGGCGCAAAAGGGCTGAAAATAGTGTAAAATCGACTTAACTTCATTCCAAAAATATCGAAATCAGGGAACGACTCTTAGGGTCAAATTAGTAGTTCTTTGAACTTTCATCGATTTAAAAAAAGTCGAATAAACATGGCAAATATTTTCATTCAGCCCCCCCCACTCCTCATCCTGATGACCTTGAATAAATCTGGTTCCTTTCCAAGGTCAGGTCCTTCACCCAAAGTGCGTCCCACAAGACAATACTCCCATTTACAATGAGCCGGTGAGAGGACTACAATGTTGCTGAATTATTTGTGAGTTTTATCATATTTAATAGGTTATTTTTGAACAATTGTTATTTTATTTTTATCATTAAGCTGTTGATTTTTGTCAAGTTGTTCTATAAGTTAAATTCTGAATTTATTTCTTATAAACCATTATATTCTTACCAAACATTATATTGATAATGTTTTATGTAACATCAGGCCGTATAAATCCTCCTAGTTTAAGTTATAGTTATGATCCTAATTAAAGTTACTTTTGAGGAATGTGTTGAGAAACTATTTCTTTGATGTATTTACATTTTGACAAATTTGTAGCTTGCTACCTAATGTTAGGTGTTATAAATACGAGATTCTAAATTGCTTCAGGTTTTACTAATAATTTCAGTTCCAGTAGCTTTAGTTTAAATGGAATTGTTTAATTATGCCTCTGGTGTTTTATGGAATTTGTTATTGAGATCTTTAATTTCTGTTGGTTATACAAAGTACAGTTTGTTGTGTTAGAGTAGTCATGAGGAATTTCAGTTACCGTGGTAAGAAATTTTATAAATGAGCAAAATAATTTGACTGAAATGTTTTTATTCATCCTACTATCTTACAATATTTCAGTACATAAATACGAGAGCCAGCATAATTAATTGTTATTTATGTTAACAATCGATATTTGTTCAAAAATAGTACTAGACGTTTTAGGCCTGTTTCCAAAGTATTTTTCTCCAATCTCCCTAATATTCGGAAAATGTTTTTTTTTAATTTAAAGTCAAATTAATTGTATGCTTGGAATACTTTCCTTTTCATATTTAGGGAGTACACATTTTAAACAGGGTTTTGTTATGTTAAACAAATTTTTACCGTGTATCTGTTTCTAATTGTTATCTCAAATCACTAACACATAATAACACTACAAACTAGTAATCAATCAGGAATCACAAGGAAATCTAGGTTATGTTTCCTCTAAACATGATATACCAGTTTCCGGCGCGGTTTGCCAACTTCCGGTTGTAGTCAGCTGATCGTTGATCAGCTGTTTCCTTATCACACCTGTTAGGTTGGCAGTAGTGGGTGCAGCTTGATAAACAGCTGCGAATTTGTCTGTGCAAACGGAGATAAATTCATTCTGTGAGCGGCTTTACTTCGTGTAAGTGTAAGTACGCGTAGCATTTATGCTAAACATTTATGTTAATTGTAGTTCTTACCAATATGAGAAATACTTGAGTACCTTTCTTGTGGTTATGACCAGTTCGCCTTATGAAACTTAAGTTACGATAAAAATTTGTGTTTTCTCAAAACAAATACAATAGAATCAAATGTTAAAATTTAACAACAGTTGGCCTACAGTAGGGAATTTACTATACTGGAGGATTATTATTAATTTATTTACAGATTTAATATTAATTTTAGTTATTTGCTTGATTTGATTCTTAATTTTTCTTTTTATTGTATAATGTAGAGAGTTATATTTTATTGTTATATTTATTGAGATAATTAGTTTTGGTAGAAAAATTGTTTAAATTTACATAAATATTTCTCATTTGTGTTACATCTTAAATGTTTACCTACATATTTTTGTAATTTTCACACAACTTTGTAGGTAATTTTTTAATGTGCGTAGCATACATTGTAATTAGGTGGTTTAATTGAATTGTTATATTTCGTTCTTGAAAGCAATATGGAATAGCAATAGATCTTCCTCTTTGTCCAGTATACAATTTAGACCAATCGCAACAAAGTCCTGATTCATCATATCTGTTAAAACATTCACTACCTGGTGACGCAAGGCCCTTTATGCAGAGGCAAGAGGATCTTGATAACCGTCAGACAATGTGTTAGTTTGTTGCCGATCATTGTTATAAGGTCACAACAATTTCCCTTTGTAATTTCTTTTTTTATATAATTTCTAACCTTTGATCTTGATAATTGATAATTGAAATGATATTGAGTAGGGGAAAAATCTACAATATTTGCATTCTGAACGTGGCAAGTTGTGTGATTAGAGCACAACACTTCTATCCGGTAGATCCGGGTCCAAATCTCCCTATTTGCCAATAGCTTGTAGCTATATGATAATGTGAAGCTTAATTTAGCTGTAACTCCACCAATTTAAAACCCAAGGAAAGACGAACTAGTTTTTAAGTTCCCTACACTTAAAGTCATATGATAGTTTTTGTCTTTCTTTAAAGCAATAGTTCATTAATCCGATTTCTCTATTAACGGTCACCCATCCAAAAGAAGAAGAAAATAACTGATAAGGGTTGGAGTAAAGAGCGAGTAATCCTATAATTTTTCCTGTTTTCTAAACATCTCCACATAAAGCCATATGATAATCAATTTGAAAAGGATTATTCTCTTTATTCATTTCTTTTTATGTGGGCATATTCAACAAGTTTACCTACCAAAAGATTATTTGGTTTACCAATCCAGACATTTTAACATTCACTAACTCTAGTTAAGCTTTAGTTATTCCAGCGTTGATTTATTCCCACAAACTCTGTTGACGATTCCTCTCCAGTGATGCGGTACCTTCTCTGACCGTTTATCTAGATTCAATCCAAAGTAATTAATAATCTTCTTCATACTTTAAACACATGTTGTCAGTCAGTGGAACACCATTAGTACTAAACTCCTTCGACAAGCCTCAAGTTCAAAGTATCCATCACTACCTTGGTTTACTTGTGAAGCATTACCTGTACAGTATTTCTTACGTGATATCACATATCAGTTTAGCTGTACAGTATTTCTAACGCGATATCTCATATCAGTTTGTACGCACACACCTTCAGCTAACATGAGATTACTCCCACACAAACCTCAAGGTCGTTGTCTTAGATAACACAGCAGAACTGTTATCATTGCTAAGCCCTCCGTGACACAGTTAAGGTAACGCCATTTTGTATAGTCAATGTTCGTATAATCTTAAATTTTTCTTTTAATGCCCTTTCGTTCTGTATGTTTACAATTGATTGTGGTTGGGGAGTTCGTAAAAACTACACAAGTAAAACAACTACCTACTTGAGTAATATCATTGAGTATAGATTGTGTACGTTGTTTTCCATGGGAAATGTAATTTTTCTATTCAATTTTATATTAATTTGTAATGTTATTACAACTGTAGCGAGTGAATTAATTAGATAAGTAGTGCCTTTATTAGATCTAAGAAATTCGTTAGTAATCTGTTATATCATGTTACGGTATTATGTTATTCGTTACGGGTAAAATTGCAGTATGGGGATGAACATAAACTCCTTACGTAAATAATACTTGGACATTTATATACGTTAGCATTTATTTTCATGTACATTTATTTTACATGTTTTGTAACTTGAGAGAATTTATATGAACTACTTGAATTGGATTTCTCTTTATGTGTATTTGTTCAATATTTTTTATCTTGTGTAAAACTGTGTACTGAATAATACTATCTGGTTCTTCAGAAAGGACCATTTATGAAAACCGTTAATGGCAACGTGTAAGAAAACAGTAGTACGCGGTATGTATTCCAGATTTCAATCTTAACATATTTGGTTAATTCTAAATCTAGCACAACATTAAAATGGAAATGTATGTTAACATCGCAACAGTCACTCAATAGTCAAAGCATTAACTGCATTAATTAAACATTAAACCACGTCTTGCTAAATGTATGACATACACCATCAACTGTAATTCCATCCGAATTCTACAACACTATCTTATGTATAATTTAATTTATAATTATTTCAAAACAAACATTTTCTGTTTCAGAGGGCGGTGATGCCACAACCTGAGCTCAAGCCTAAGTGTACTTATGTAAATATGTAGATGAACGGGTTTTGTGTGCGCGTGCGCGAAGAACCAGTCAGTGACGACGATCTAGTGGCAGTGGTCGCGATGCGTCGACGCAATCAAAGTGGCAGTGACAGTGCGTGAAGTGAGGTTATGTTACATGCGATACCGTGACGACAACAATTAAACAATGAGTCAGGCCAGCCAAGTGACAGTTGAGCCTGTGGAAGCGGCGCCGACCGCAACCATAGAGGAAGACGACTTTCGTTACTTCGAGGAACCTGAGGAAATCGAGGATTCTCACAGTGAACAAGAAGAAGAAGCGATGACAGTGGAACCACCGTTAGTTCGAGTGGCGACGTGTGGATCGACCATCAGCCATCTCAAACATGACTACAGGTTTGTGAAATGTAGAATATTTATGTTAAAATGTTTTCGAGTTTGGCACTCAGTTGTACTCAGTTACCGGGAAACTAATAATTAACTAATAATGTGTAAATAGGATTTAATATCAAATTTTGGATTCCTGATCTAATTTAAAAAAATTTTGTCAGAACAAAAACAATGCATAGTAACTTCAAATAATAAATAATAACTTCATATTTTTGGTAAACATTTATACTACTGTACTGGGATTTTAAAGAAATCGAATGATTGAAAAATGCATGAGCTTTATAAGCAAACAGACTACTTAGCACGGATACAATAGTTTATTGCAAGACCTTGAGACATTTTTAATATTACTCAGTAAAAGCATCAATGGTCGAATAATTTACTTATACATTTTTTAAGCTAACGCCAAAAGATAATTATTGGATAGGGTGACAATTTTTAAGTCAAAAAAGTTACATTACGATGTTTAAAATATTGAATACGTTCCTTAATTTACCTTCAAGTAACAGAATACAAATACAAACATATATTGAATAATTAGAAGAGAAACTCAACTTATTGAGTCATATTGTAAAAAAATTCTATACATACATAGGCAATTATGGTCACCATTTCATTGAAAAGTATTGAAGTATTAAAAGTATAAAAATCAGACAGTTTAACAGTGATTTAACAATTTTTAAGTTATGTGTTTAATGTTAATTCTAGTAGCTTATATTTCAAGTAAATGGCAATAGTATGAACATATTTTAAAGGCAAGTTTAATATTCGTAAAGTATTAAAACATATTTATTTTTAAACTCGAACCATAATTACAATATTATATTGGTTGTTATAAACAAGCATTCAAATTGACTTAAGCATAATTTTGAAATTAAAGCTATTTTCTTGGAATCCTACACGAAAATAAAATTCGCAAAACAATATTTCAAGCGTTTCAAGAATTATAAGGCGCTAGAACGCAATTCAGATACAAGGGGTCTGTAGCTGTTTTGCCTGAATTTTTTGGTCAGGCGCTAAAACGCAGAATAGAACACCTGTTTTATGTATTTCTCGCCGTACTGCAGCAAAATCAGCTGTTTTCATTGCAATCGTTGCGAATGTACTACTCTTTACTTACTCTTGTTTGGCTCTTTAATCGGTGGTTAAACTTGAGCACCGGTCGAAAAGAGTCACTTTACGCCCTAATTATGAAAAATACCATCTTGAAGTAGATAACAGTAAGTTTGATTAAATTCAAACGAGACTATTATAAACAAAAGAGGAGCAACAATATAAACATGTTTATTCGCATGATTTAATGCATCTTTATCTCTGATCAATAGGCGATTAAATAAGAATAATGCAATAACATCATTTCACTTAAATGTTGAAGATAAGTATTGTTTTAATGAATAACTTGTTTTTGTTTCGTACAATAATTTCAACCAATCATTTACTATGTTAACAATATTTTTAAAAACTCCCTTTCAGTCAAACAAATAAAATCGTTAATCTTTGACACTATGGACACAGCTTATCCATTTCTTATCGTATTAATATTTAAATTAGATACATAATAACAATAATGTATACTTGTAAAATCACCACAACAAAGATCGACAGCAAATATTCATACAGTTTCAATACGACGATTACTTTTTACGCAATTGTAATTTTTTAAGTTGCTTAAAAGTAATGTTTCAATCCCTGGTCTTGTTAATATCTAACGTAGATGTTTTGTTATGTTACATAATTATTTAATAGCTCAACGACAAACTTGCCAAAATATCTTAGAAAATGTGACTGTGGATAGTAATCCAATAACAGGAGATAGAAATAATTTAAATCTAAATCTACGTGATGATTGACAGAACTAACTAACTGTTAACGAAGTATCTGAAAATCGCGCGAATTTAATCAAACCGTATCAACTATGTATAGAAAACGATCAATGAATAAATTGTGGAAAACATTTATGTGTCACCGTTAATTAAAACTATTAAATATTTTGTTCGTTAAGTAATCTCTGACAAATAAAGTATCGACATGTTATCAGAACAGAAACAACTTTCGGTGAAAATTATCTCATCTGCCTTCAGCTATGCTGCAGCAATTCGCACAGCATCAAAGCATTGTTTCTATCACGTACAGAGCTGAAGGCATTGACATGTCTGTGAAAATGCTGTTTTTCTATTCTTTGGCTAAAGTTTATTTTTGGCAAAGTTACATTTATGTTGATCAAAGAATAGTTGCCATTGCTAAATCGGAAACTCATATTTCTTAACGTTTTGGATTCGGGATCTGGAATATGATCCCTTCTTCAGGTGTAAAGTTGACTATAAAATAACAAGATAAATACACAAACAAAGCAAAGCTAGAAACATAATAACTGAAAATATTCACCTCAGTCAAATAATAATAGGAAAATAGAAAAGTACAAAATAACAAATAAATAATTTTACACCATTTTAAAAAGGCTTAAAATAAAGTACATTATCTCCCAAGGAAAAATTGAAGCATAAATCAATTGCTTTAGAATACTTGTTTATGGGTGCAGCCAAAAAGTCGTTAGACAGACAGTGTCTTTATTTGCTGTGTGCTTTGAAAACTATAAAAATATTTCTTCTCGTAGTATACTAATGTTATAAACGTGTAGGCCCATTTCTGCCATGATTAAAGATTTTGTTTCAAATTACAGCAATATGTTTTATGTTGACTCTACTTAACAACTAGAAATTCGCTTATCTGCAATTGTAATTTTCAATTTAGCATGAATTGGCTTTATTTTCATTCATATCGTATGGAAAGGAAAAGAATAGATGTAATTACCTTTCTGTAATTGATCAATTAGGGTAGTAATTGCTCAGTTTATTGTAAGGATAGTTACAAGTAATTATCTTATCAATTTCCTTGCCACTTTGTAATGGATAGAACACAATTATCGGCAAAACAGTGATTGAAGAAACTTGTTTTGCCAATCAAACCAATGATAGCGACTGTTAGCAGTCCTGCATAAATTATTGGAACTAAAACGTAATGAATTGGTTTTTAATAAAATGTTTGTATATTATAACCTTAATAATTGTCACAGACCAGTTTTTATTTTAATATACTGATTAAAATATTGGGTCTTCATATTCTAATATTTGTATAGGCTAAGTATTTTTTATTTAAACTTATATTTTTATATACTATTTATAAAACGTATTCTAATGATTTAATCTTGAATTTTTGCAAATTCTTGTTAATTTAATATCGCCCTCACACCTTACAACGTTGAATTAGAATTAAAAAAATATATAAGACAAATTGTCTTCATTAAACCATACAATGCAATGGTAATAGTAATAGTAAAGCAAGAGTCTTTTAGAGTTCAATATGTATGTTCATCATGGATACCGCAAGGTGACTTATCATCATTATAACAAAATTCTGCAATTTCTAGTTACTTCTTAGTGTTCTGCTGATAAAAATTGTTAGACAACTTTCACAGTGTATTGTATGTGTCTGTGTGACTAGGTTTACTTCAATATAACTTTTGCTTTCAAACAATCCAAAGCTGCTCTGTTTTGAAGTTTATTATTGTGATGTTATTGATTTTACATTAACTTTACGTTTAAGTTATTTGTGGGGTGATTACGGTCATTTTCAGTCACGATCAGTAAACGAAATATTTAAAAGTCGGAATTAATAATTATCTATAGGCAACGCCATAACCTACATCAATTCAAATACCACTTCTTATTCACTCATTCTGCCAACTCTGCTACCTACAAACAGCTGTTTTACTTTGCCAATAAGTGAATTTATTGCTGTATTATCAACAACACACACACGCACACTGACAAAGTGCAACCTACACAAAACCGATAACCTTTCGCATTCCAAGTCCAATGTTCAACAGATCAGCTGTTTTAGCTTGGTTTAGTATCAGCTGTTTGTTTAATAGTTTGTTAGTAACAGCTGTTTAGTGCAGTTTTGTTCCTATTGTTATGACACAAAAGAGTGAGTCAGTTAGTTTAACAGTGGAAGTCAAGAACAAGAAAAATGGGAAAGAGAGGCGGTCTAGGTCTAGGTCACGTTCGAGAAGCAGGTAAATTTTATTTTATTATTTTAGAGATTCAATTATTTTATATAACAGAAAAATACCTATTTTTCAGGGATATGATTTCCTTATCATACTTATTGTAGCTGAAATGGAACTTCTGTAATTTTGCACTATAATGTAAATAAATATTACCTATTTACATGGAAAATCATACATCTAGAATTTGATTGCAAATAAGAAATATAAATCCATTACATAATAGTTTACAAGTTTCTTAATATAATAACCATATAAATTGTTGGTTGTTTAAACTGAACTGTAATTGCTCCCATTAGTCCATTAGCACGGTAACTAGAGTAAAAATTATCCAATTTTGATTAAATTTGCTACAAATGTGTAAATCTACGTTTATTCGACCGTTGGAACAGGGTTTTATGGGATACATTAGGTGTTCCCATTTTCCACACTCAAAATGACATTTTGTAATTTAGGCTATTACCAAACCATGTGTATTAATAGTGTTGTACAAATAATGGTTTCGGAGAAAATAAAAAAAGTACATTTAAAGTTCCCACGATATTCTTCAAGGGAATAGCTGAACTGATAAATTTTGCTTGTTCATTTATATTTTCTGATAAAATTAGTAAAAATTTATATATCTCACAATAA